TTTTTTTTTTGGTGCTAACTGTGACAGATTGGGAATTCCCAACCTGTATCTGCAAAGGATGAGATCTTCGTGCTATAAATGTTGGTTCGTGTTTTATGGCATTTTCACTATAAGAAAAAGTCAGGCATGGTTTTGTTTAACAACACGGAGGCACGACGATCGATCGATGATAATTGCTAGGTTTATAAATTGTTGTACCCGTTTCTTGGCACTTGAGATCCTTACCCAACCAATACACTGTTTTTTCTCAAAGACCTAAGTTTGTATCTAGTCCAACTTATTTATTTATTTTATTTATATAATAATAAGGCAACTTGAGTTGGAGAGTGTTGGGCTGCGACCATCTCGCACGGTTCGGAGAGCACTTGTTACAACCGTCTAGGCTCGACTCTTTCTTCGAGCCTAGCGGTGGAACTCTCGACTCTATTTGTGTTTTAAAAAACTTTTAACGAAATTTTGTACCCGCAAAAAATGGTCGAGATAAAAGTCTGAACGAATGAGGATAACGAACTCGATTATGTAGTGGCTGAACGACACGGTTCTCTAAGTCAGCGAGTAATGGCTTGGACTCTTAGGAATGGTTCTGGTGGTCTCTCTGTCCGATTTTGGATTCAACGTGGGTTCTGCACGTCGAATCCCCGTTTAAACGCGTGTTAGACGTGAAAAAATGGGGTCCGCAAAACGGGATTTCACGCGGTTGGTGGGGGTGCGGGGTTTCTGCGGGCCTAGGGTGGTACAGTGGCCTGTTGGGGATACCACCTCATGCCCTCAATTTTTTTTTATGTTTATTTTTTAATTGGAAAAAAAAAAACCACCCCGCTACGGGCCGACGTCGTGCAGGACATTTTTGGGGTACCGTTGCTGGGCGGGTTGCCTTGGTGGCAAAGTGGAACGGCTACAAAGAAGGCTGTTTCACTCGGCCGCACTTCATTTGCCGTGCACGCCCAACGCGACAAACGCGGTTTGCCACGCGTCCAACATGCGCACGTTCGCGCGCGCGAGCAAGCGAAC